GTGTGTGTGTGTGTGTGTGTGTGTGTGTGTGTGTGTGTGTGTGTGTGGTGTGAATCTATACCTGTTCAACTCATGAAGAGAATATCAGATGTACTGGCTTTTCTTTTCTTTCCTTTTTTTAAGATTTTTATTTATTGATTTGACAGAGAGAGTGAGAGCGAGCGTGCGCATAAGCAGGGAGAGCAGCAGAGGGAGAAGCAGGTTCCCAGCTGAGCAGGGAGCCTGATATGGGACTCGATCCCAGAACCCTGGGATCATGACCTGAGCTGAAGGCAGACACTCAACTGACTGAGCCACCCAGGCACCCCAGATGTACTGACTTTTATTTTTTTTTTAAGATTTTCTAAAAAATTTATTTGATAGAGACACAGCGAGAGAGAGGGAACACAAGCAGGGGAAGTGGGAGAGGGAGAAGCAGGCTTCCCACTGAGCAGGGAGCCCGATGCGGGGCTCCATCCCAGGACCCTAGGATCACGACCTGAGCCGAAGGCAGATGCTTAACGACTGAGTCACCCAGGCGCCCCTGTACTGGCTTTTAGAAAACAAATCCTTGGCACCTGGCTGGCTCAGTCAGTAGAGCATGTGACTCTTGATCTCAGGATTGTGAGTTCAAGCCCCACCTTGGGCATACAGATTGCTTTTATTTTTTTTTTAAGATTATTTATTTATTAGAGAGTGCAAATGAGTGGGGGGGGGGAGGAGAGGGAGAGGGAGAAGCAGACTCTGAGCTGAGCACTGTGCTGGATGTAGGGCTTGATCCCACAACCCCGAGATCATGACCTGAGTCAAAATCAAGAGTCAGACATGCAACTGACTGAGCCACCCAGGCGCCCCGTAAGATTTTATTTTTAAGTAATCTCTATACCCAGCGTGGGGCTTGAACTCACAACTCTGAGATCAAGAGTTGCATGCTCTACCAGCTGAGCCAGCCAGGTGCCCCTCTAATTTGGTTATTTTCCAAGTAAGCATCTTTCTTTTCTGGTGTAGGAAGAGCTGGATACAGCTTCTTGATAGGGAAATTGTCGGATTACGTGCTTTTGTGGATGGACCTATTTTTCCAGGGTGAACATCCTGGTCTGAGTGTTGGACGAGAGCCTTTGGGGTCCCAGGCTACATGCCAGGGCCTTGTATGTTCACCATGGGATTCACTTGGCATTTGCAGCTGGAGTCCCAGCCACGCTGTTCTTGGAGGGGCGGGGAGGCAGCCCCAAATGCTGGAGGAGGCCTGGGGGGACTAATTTTACAGGTGGCCAGTGCATCAGCAAAGGTGGCACGCAGTTCTTCTTAGAGGGTGTAGGTGTCAAAGGAGTGTGTGCCTCAGGTGGGCTCAGGCATAAGCCATTTTGGGGTGACCTTGCTACTGGCTGGGGTTGGAGGAGGGGCCAGAGCTAGGACAGCCAGGCTGATCCCAGTCCATTGAGCCAGGATGAGGGGGTGGTGGGGGAGGTGTCAGGTCAGGGTGCAGCCTCAGTGGGGGGAACTGGAGTGTTGTCAAAAACCCAGTAGCGGGGCGCCTGGGTGGCTCAGATGGTTAAGCGTCTGCCTTCAGCTCAGGTCATGATCCCAGGCTCCTGGGATCGAGTCCCGCATCGGGCTCCCTGCTCCGTGGGAGCCTGCTTCTCCCTCTGCTTCTCTCTCTCTCTCTCTCTCTCTCTCCCCCCCTCTATCTCTCTCATGAATGAATAAATAAAATCTTAAAAAAAAAAAAAAACCCAGTAGCTACCCATCATTTTTTGCCCTGTGCCAGGGAATCTGTCTCTGTTTCTTATTCTCCTTTTCCAGTTTCGTAGATGAGGAAATTGAGGCTCAAAGATTAAGGAGTTTTCTAAGACTCCAAAGCCTCTGAACCCCAGGACCGAAATCTGAATTTGTTTGACTCAGCATGCATGGTGCTTGTGGAATTGCGCCTGCCTCTCGTTGGGGACCGTGGGGGCCCCGATCCCTAGGAACAGTGACAGGTGGGAGTGTGACTGACTGGGCATTTGCCCTATCCCAGCCTGGGACTCTGTACATGGAAGGGCTGTGCTTCAACTGATGGCCTGGTCAGGTCAAAGCCACAGCTGCAAGGGGCTGTCACAGGGGTCCTGGTGTAGCCGAGTCCCTGGAGTTATAGAGCTGCGCAGGACAGCCCTACTTACTAATGAATTGGCCACCTACAAAATCACCACCTATAAAATCAGTTCCCACCCCCTTGGGCCCCCGTGTACCCCTCTCAGGTAAGACCCATGTCTCCCCACAGCCATTGCCTCAGGTCTGGCTGACTATTAGAAATCTGGGAACATTATGGAAGTGGAAATTCAATGTAAGTTAAGTGCAGAGGGACATTGCAGATCTTGCAAATGATCCAGTGTGTCATGAAGACACTGGAGGTAATGTTATAGAACTCTTGGTACTCCCACATTGACAAATGAAGGTCTGAGAGAATACCAGTTTACCAATGAAGAACAAAGAAGGGGTGTGATGACTCTTTTGGAAAGGAATTGATATCAAGATTAAGAAAGGCACTTAGAAAATTGATGAAGCCCTTGAATTGTTTGCAAAAATGACCTTTCTGATTGTCTTATTAAAAGTAAAACATAAAGCAAAAGGTTCCAGGGTAGTTGGTCAGAAAAAGTACACACAAAACCAAAGAAAGAACACTCATTTCATTTTGTTGTTGTTGTTCTTTAGGACAAATTAGAACATGGTTATAATTGCATGTCTTTAGCCTAATTTTATCAAATGTAATATGAAATAGGCTTATCCTTCGCATTATAGTCCCCTTCTTTCTTTCTTTCTTTTTTTTTTTAAAGATTTTTATTTATTTATTTGAGAGAGCGAGAATGACAGAGAGAGTGCACATGAGAAGGGGCAGGGTTGGAGAGAGGAGCAGACTCCCCGCTGAGCGGGGAGCCCGATGTGGGACTCGATCCCGGGACTCCAGGATCATGACCTGAGCCGAAGGCAGCCGCTTAACCGACTGAGCTACCCAGGCGCCCTATAGTCCCCTTTTTTCAAGATAAAAACCCAATCGGATTTTTTTCTATCTACTTCCTCAGCCAAACCATTTACTATGAAATGATGGTCTTCGTTCAAATGGATTGATTGTAAAGTTACGAGCCTCTGCACACCACCCTGGTCCCTATAACAGATATTCTCAGTTAACTAGGACCTGTTCTTATTTTAATCTGGCAAAAGAAACTAGATTCAGGAGGTTTTGGCTGGTGGTTTGCAATTCTTTAGCAGCCCTGAAGAGTCCATGTTTTGCCTAATCATGCCCTCGTGTCTATTCTTTCTGGTCTCTGAGAAACTTTCTCAAAGGAGTAATGTCTTCCCCGTTTCTAGTTGCTTTTGAAACCATGGCCATCCAGAGACCATAACTTTTTTATTGCATCCTAATGATTTTGAGATTTTATTTAATACAATTTTAAAATTTATCAGTTAACCTGGTTCAGACCACGGGGATTTGAATACTTAACAGTATTATCTAATGCTTTAGAAAAACTGCACACAGTTTCCAAGTTAAATAAGAGGCCTCTTGTCTTTTTTGAGAAAATTGCAGCATTAAAAGGATCAACATAAAGTGGCACTATTAACCAGGGAGAATGTTCAGAATTCAGCAAGGCAAGATGGGCCTGGCATTCAGGGTGCAGGCTGGGAAAATGGCAGCCTCTTAAAGACAGCTTTTGTCCAGTCTCTTTTTTTTTCTAATAGACTTTATTTTTTAGAACTTTTAGATTTACAGAAATGCATGATCCATTTTACAATGAGGTTTTTAACTTCTAGATTTTCTTCCCTCTTTCTGCAGACGTCGCCTCATCTCCCAGAGGTCATCCTTGGAGACTCTGGAAGATATTGAGGAGAATGCCCCTCTACGGAGGTAAGTTTTTACTGGTGTATTTATGTGTATGTAAATGGCCTGCAGTACAATATGACAGCCAAAGTTTGATTTTTTTTTTTTTAAGTCCTTGACGTACAGAATTAATTTTTTTAAATGATGGCCTGATCCCCAGACTCATAGTTTGGAAACCCCAAGCCTGAGGACCACTAGAGCAGTATTAAATCTCAATTATGTATTGGGAAAGCCCAGTTTGCACGGTGGATTTGGGTGCTGTTTCCTTTTCAATGTCAAAGCTGCTGCTTGATGAAGACGAGACCATCATTGTCCCAGCTTTCTTAGGTGCAGTGACACAGTGATCACAATCCTGGATTTCATTAGCAGGTGCCTACCACATGACTCCATCACCAGTTGCTGGGGAAACTCAATTAGGATAGCTATGAGGGCTTCCTTGGGGGCTGAAAGTGATTTCTCCATTGGGATTGGAGAGGTGCTCGCAAGGTGTTTGGGTGACAGCAGTTGGCTGAGCTGTGCCGTGCCTCCGGCAGCTTTCCTTGCTCTCATCCTGTACCTCGCCGCCGACCCCCATCTGTGCCTTGGTCTCGCCTGACCCTCCTTGAGTGGAGGAGACCGTATTCACACAGCACATCTCCTTTAGTCTTCACAGCCGCTCAGCTGGTCCGGTTGCGGGGTGCTCCTCGGGCAGAAGGAACCAAGCCAGGATGGGATGCAGATGCTTCACAGGGCAGGCGCCGTGGCTTCACAGGGCATGCGCCACGGCTTCACAGGGCATGCGCGCGGGTTGCTCCGAGGGAGGCCCGCGGGAGAACGTACGCTCCCATTGGCTCGACCAGCTTCCGGTATCCACGTCTGCACACTTCGTGCTTTGGCCCCTGGCCAGGACTCGGAAGTGTGGGCTCCTCTTTTGAGCTTAAGAGAGTGCTGCTGTGGACGGAGGCTTCTCTCATCGTGGAGCCCGCCCCTTCCCCACCTTGGGCTTTACTCCCAGGTTAGTCCTGTCCACTGACCACCTGGATGAAAGGTGGAGCATAGACAGACAGCGGATCTGATCGAGAGTATTGGGTGACTGAGTCTTGCTGCTGATGTCATTCCAAAGACAAAGTCAGGGCCAGCCAGTCCGATTTCCACTTTTGAAGTCTTTTTGAAAGCTCCTGGTGTTTCGAGAGTCTGTGAGAGGTGTCAATTAAAGCAGTGTGGTAGCTGTGAGTCAAGGAAAACCAGGTAAAAAATGTTACTCTGTCCTCAGGGATTCAGGTAGTTAAAGGGGGGTGGGGAGGAGAAGGGCGAGGAGGAGCTACCTGCTGTGTGTCTGGTCACGTGCCGCGTCGTCACCTCTGAACCCTCCTCCCAGAATCCACCCAGCTGATCCTCTGCCCTCTACCCTTCAGTGGCCGGATACTGTAAGTGGGCACAGTAGAAAGGGCTTATCTGCCTTAGCTATAACTTATCCACCTCTTACTTACAGAATATTCATACTTAATTTCCAACAAATCTTGTGTAAATATAAAATTTAAAAAAAACAAGTCTGAAGCCAAGGCAATCTGGGCAATTTGGGAAGGCTTTATTTTATCTAATAGACTTTTTAAAAAAAAGATCTAGTATTTACTTAGGATGAGCACTGGGTGTTGTACAGAATTGTTGAATGACTATATTGTACACTCGAAACTAATGTAATGCTGTGTGGAACTATAATAGAATTAAAAGTAACAACTAACTAAGTTAGAAATGTACTTATTCCTAGGAAATAAAATTAGCATGGCATAGCAGAAGGGATATTCATTTGGGAGTCTGGGGGCCTGAATTCTTGGTTTGATTCTTCTACTAACTGGTTACATGGCCTTAGACATTTTATTTAGCTTCTCTGGGGCCTCAGTTTTCCCATCTGTAAAATGGGAGGGCAAATTGACTGCTCTCTGAGGTCCTTTCCAGCTCCCAGTTTTGTGAAATGAATGTACCAGTAATGATACTGAAGTGTTTTGGGAACTGTGGGGGCGGAAGGCTATTAGCCCAGCTTGTTTTTAAACTCAGCACATTGAACAAATGGCTGCAAGGCATCTATTAAAAACCTTTTGCGTAATTAAGTGTATGCTGTAATCAGTGCTAACAAGAAAGAGCTAATCTTTCATTAAATTAGTTTTTAATTTAATTCTATCCTAATTTAATTTTGCATCACTTAAGATGTATGTTTTTAAATGGATACTGAAATTAATTCGTTCTTTGCTTAACCTGCCACAAGCTGAGTGCTCGGTCTTCCAGTTTCCTTGGCAATGGTTGCTAATGCCACAGTTCTCTTTTAAAACATTTCTTAGATTCCCTGGTGGTTTAGTTGAATGCTTTAAAAAATGCAAGACAACAAACAACTTGCTAAAGGAGGGGCTAGATTAGTAGCATATGCCCTTATAATTGGGTGCTGATACATTCTTTTTTAAAGTCTTGGTTTCTCTTGCACATCACAGTTTGCTAGTAAGTTAGTGTCCTGCACCTGCCTAGAACTCCAGGAGTTAAGCATTCATAATGAGAGCCTTTAGACTAAGGAGTTGTCCACCTGCCCGTTGGTGACCTGGTATCCTAGTATTAAGGAGCCAGGACGTTGCTACGAGGTGTCCAGAAAATCCTCAGTTTGGTGGTGGCAGATGTGCCAGCCATCTCCACCTGCCTCTGTTTTCCGGCCTGTTTGGGTTGATGGGTGTTGGCTGCTGCACCATTCAGTGATTACCGGTACCTCCTCCTCCCCCTGTGAGTGCCAACAATCCCCTGTGGCCCTTTTGCTGACTTCCAGTTCTAGCAGAAGGCCGGGGAATATTTGTGCTCAAACCTGAAGGGTAACGGCACGGGAGGCAGAGAGAAACTCAGGTCTTCCCTCCTCTGGGCTGGGATCCGTACCAGCTTTGGGCTGCTGGGGGCAAGAGTACCTACTAACCTGTCACAGTCCAGCTCTTGGGCCACTGTCCTCTGGCTGGCTGGCTTAGGAAGCTCTGCTGTTTGAGGGGAAGCAAGGTAAGGGTGTGAGGACACTTCTGGACACTTGGCCCTAACCAGAAACCAATGGAAGCATAGCCTTATGCTTTCAGAGATTCTCTTCTCTCCAGTGGCTGCATGTCTCTAGAACCTTCTGCATTGTTTGTGAGAGACATTTGGGGACCTTGGGTGGCCTGCAGACTCAAACAGTCATTTTGGAGGTAGAACTGAGGCAGTTTGGGGTCCTAGGTCTGCTTCCAGAGAGCTGCCCCAAGAAGGCAGAGTGAGGCTCCATGCCCTTGGACCTCGGTAAGGCTAAATCTGAGTTTGGAAGCTTGCGGTGGGAAGGGGGATTGATGGGTGCTGTCTGTTCAAACCCTGCCTGAAGGCCACGGGAAACATTGACTAAATACAGGTCTTTAAAAGATTCTAAAACCAAGAATTCAGGACCCTTGGTGACAGCTACAATTTTAAGAATATAGGAAGCAAATAATAACAAAATATGCATGCTTTGTAGTTAATGGTCTGTTAATAAGCACAACACCAAGATTTGTATACAAATATTTACATGTATATACACATGTATGAATGTGAATGCTTGTATTTGAATGTGTCACTTGACAGTTTATGAATCTCTTGTATATGTCATTACATTTAATCCTCACAACAAGGCCAGGAGGGATCTGAAATATTACTAGTGATAGGTCAGGGTGGCAGAGTTGGTGAGTTTGGGGCTAGAGGCAGGGAGGACTGTGGTTGCTGCTGAAGTGTCTTACAGGGCCACATGGGCTCTGCATGGTCCATGGACCCTGCCCTGATGTGGTGGACATGAAGGGGGACTTTCCCTTCTCTAGACCCAAGGACTGGGGAGCCCCGTTTTCCCAATGAAAGCTACCAAATATACCATGTCTTTGCTTTAGCCTGCACTCATTCACTTCAGTATGTTTTTTTTTTTCCAAGTAGGAAAAAAAAAATTCATTCTCAGCACTCCCAGGGAATGGCTTCTAGGAAAACTGGGTCTTTATTAGAGGGTGGGTAAGGGGGCTTGAGGGAACATACACCTGACGTCTGGGCCAGGGACTTCACCCAGTTTCCCTTGAGCTGCGCCCTTGGAATTGCTGTGCAGGTCTGTGACCTTGCCCGTTTCCCAGTCCTGTACCCCAGCATGCCCCCACGGCCCACCTGCCTTCAACTGTACCTCCTTGTTGGGTCATCTTGTTAGTCTTATACCAGAAGCCTCAAAGTTCAGAACTGACTGAACTCGGGTGGTGGCCCTACCCCAGAGCTCAGTGTGGCTTTGGGAAGCCGGGCACTGCTGCTCCAAAACTCACTCTTCGAAGCTTAATGTCCTAAGTACCCACATGCCATGGCAGGAGCCAGTCCTTGGGGCCAATGGTCAGAAAGGTTTAAGTAGACAAAAAAATTGGTAGCAAAAACCCAAACAGAGACATCACAGCTCCCTTTCTCAAGACAAGACCAAACTTCATACTCTTATTTGTTGATTTCTTTTTCTTGCCCTTTTTCTTACTGTTGCAGTTGTATAACTTTAGAATTTGCCAGGTAACTTGGAAAAAAATACAGACAAACAAGATCTTTCTAGCCTGTGGTGTGTTCTGTTAGTCCTGTAGGGCAAGCAGTGTCATATATTCCAGGAAAAAAGTAATTTGAATCCCAGTCCGTTTGTTCAACAAATGTTCATTTAAAAATGTATCTTGGGGAAAAAAGGAAAGAGAAAACAGTGGCTTATTCCAAGTAAAGCCGTGACTTCCAGGCATAGTCAAGTTAAGCACTGAAGCAGCTGTCCAGGTGGTTCAGGCCAGAGTCCTGCTACGGAAGAAAAATGATCTGGCATTGCTTTTAAACTAAATTTTCCAGTGTTTTTCTTCCCCCTGTAAATTCTTTAAATTCACAGTTTTCTGTTCCCGTTACTGGTGTTGATACAGGAGGATTCTTTTTAAGATGACAAGAAAGAATAATGTCTTTGGAATCCATGTAGGTTATGTTATTGTAACTGTGAGGACAATAGTTTTCATTAGCTGGCTTTCCAGAGACCCATATCAGGATTATCAAGGAAGTTGTCTTTCATTGTGGTTTTTTTTTTTTTTTTTTTTTTTTTTAAGCTTCCTCTCTTCCAGCCGTATTGTCCTCATTATCCTCGGGGTGATTCAAACCATTTGTCTGGTCTTCCTTCCTGTCTTTGTGTGGAGATGTCTCAGCTGTCCTGTGGGCAACTGACCGTGTTTTTGAAATGACTTTATTTTTCAGATGTCGAACTCTCTCAGGTTCGCCCAGACCAAAGAACTTTAAGAAGATTCATTTTATCAAGAACATGCGGCAGCACGATACCAGGAATGGCAGGTATCACACTCTATCGAGAACCGCCCCTCCAGCCTCCCTGCGGGGGCGGGGGGTATCCAGTGACGATGGGAGCAGGGGACTGTTGGCCTGGCCAGAGAAGCCTACGCTGCTCACATGAACAGAACCTCACAGAACCTTCCCAAACAGACTGTTTCCGTCCCACTCGCACTAGAATCACCCAGAGAAGTCTATAGAAAATGATGCTCTCAATAGCGGCCAAAGATTCAGTGAGGTTTTCAGGGTGCCTACAAAGGGACTGTTTAATAGCACTCAAATACATTTTCGTAGAAAACCGAACAGAAAAAGTTGCATTTTTTTTTTTCTTTTTCTGCTTTGTTGCGTGTTATTTCCTTTTTTTCACTAAGGCTGTATGCTCTGGTCCGTAAATACCCCACCAGTGTGTGCCTGAACTTGGCTTTGGTGCTCTCTGATGACTCTTCAGGAGAGCAGGATGGCAGCTTTGCCAGCAGGTGGTTTTTGGGCGCCGATTCGGATTCCTGGGCCTGCTGACATCTGGAGCACGTGTTTCTCTTGCTCTTCCATTGCTCTTTTGGAAAGTGCTATTAAATGAAAATGACCCTGATTGAAATTTGTGTAACCCTGATATTAAAACTCCTGGCGACGAATAGATCGGATCCTTGTCACGGGCATGCTTCTGTCGGAAGGGCTAATGAGTCTATTCACGGCAGCCTGACGGCAGCACGGGAACAGAGCTCCAAGACCTCTCAGGATCCCTGATGCTCTGTACCCTTTAGTGATGGCTCCTCCCCACTGACCTGTGACCTGCTGAGCAGTTTCCCGTTAGCGGGAGAGTCAGAGACACCACCCCAGAGCAGAGGTCCTTCCACAGAGACCATTTTGTTTTAGTGCCTCCGGATTTACAGAAACCCATATAGCCCCCACTGATAATCTCTAATCCATATCAAATGAAAATTGCTAAAAAGTCTTGAGTTAGACGCATGGACTGACTGAGGCCCAGCCTACCTGTCTGTAATCTGGTATAAAATACACGCTCTACGACCCGAAAGATAACACTAATGATTACAGTTTTTAAAGACTTGTTTTCTTGAAGTTAATATCTATTTTTTAAACCAACTGAAATAAGGAACATAATTTTATAGCTTTTGAGTGGTTTCAGAATAGCAGAACTGAGCTCCCTCATCAACGAGGGTTTGTGTAGTCGGTGTATATTCCTATTTTAAATACAGAGTTTTTAGTTAAAATGTACCCAACTGTCATCTGTTAAAGAGAATACTCTGAGTTTCTCTCACTTAATCTCATTCTGTTATTGTGCCTTGTTCCCTGAACCATCCTGTTTTATTTTTCTTTTGAGGCTCTTACTGAACTGAAACCTCACTCATGCCATTTTTAGTATAATTACTCATCGTTTATTTACATTTGTGTTCTTGTCATAATCTCCTTAACCATAAAATAAACATAGATAGCCTTTAATTCCCAAATCAAGTCAAGACAAAGCCAAAGAAGTGGGCCAGATGAGTGGGCTTCCCCATCTCTGGTGGTGCTGATGCTGCGGAGGATGCAGCGGCAGCGAAGCACCTGGCCTGGTGTGGGAGTGAGAGGATGTAGCTACTAAGACGTTTGGGCTGACGGGATTGCCGGCGTACAGGACAGAGCTGGCCTCCCCAGCACACCCTTGACCCAGGAGCAGCGTAAACAGTCCAGAAGGCATGCAGTGGCTTGCAGTTTTGCTGGGGAATTTTCAGAGGGAGCCAGGAAGGATTATTAGCTTATCTGAAGATCTGAGAACTGGAATTTAGGGCAGGAAAGCAAGCTAAGCGCTGCTCTGGGAACCACAGACTATGGGCTGTGCCACAGTCAGTTGTCTCTGCCCAGGTGAGAGGTGCTCTCCTTTCTTCCTCTGGGTTATTGGTAAGGCTGGATTGTCCTTAGATAGATGAAAGAACTTGAGAGGACACCAGGAAGAAAATACGATTTCTGAGGCGACAGAAGGAAATTGTGGTCAAGAGCTGATGAGTGGGCGGATGTGACCCAGCCTTTTGAGAAAGGAAAGAATTGCCCCCACCACAGCTGGGCAGCAGGCATGACACTGTCCTAATAGAGGGGTGCGTGGATGAGCTGTAGTCCAGCAGCAGTGGGGAGGAGGGATCCTGGTCGTGCTCTCGGAGGGGCAGGTGCATGGTCAGGGGTCTCTGATTCTGCCATCTAGGGTGTACTGAGGCACGTGCGCGGCACCACACCAGAGGGTGCGTTCTCTTGCAGCGAGGATTGAGCTTGGGTTTGCCTGCCGGGGTTGGGAAGGAATGAGGCTTTACAGCGAAGGCTGGAGGTAGTCATTAAAGAGCTTGAAGGTCTAGACTGAAAATGGAATGCCCTGGGTGTCCTGCCTCTTGTACCCGGGGAAGGAGACTGAGAAGGGGCCCTCAGAGTCCCCAGGCCCAGTCCTACAGCGGTTCCCGCTCATGGCTATGCCAGCTCCCAAGTGTCCGTGTGATCTTCGACTAGCGCACACCAGACTCAAGACTGCAGGCCGGACCCGGTGCCCACTTGCTGCTCTGGACCTGAAGACCTCAGAGTGGAGGCTGCTCCGTCCCCAGGCCTGCTGAGTGTGTGTCACTGGCACCAACATGGAAGGGGGTTGGGGCTCCAGGCTCAGCAAGAACTAGTGAAGCTGACCCCAGGAGAGGGGAGCATCTGTTCTGGGCCTCAGTGCCCAACCTGTGAATATGAAAAACGGTTTAAGACAGGAAGGAGAAAAATCATAAAAAAGAACCAAATGTGATAAAAGACAATACTTGCATTAGACTCAAGTGGACGTAATGATCAGCAATGTCGGGGTAGCGGCTTAGAAACAAACACTGGGGGCCCGGCCAGCTTCGTGTTCTCCCACTTCTCTCTGTGACATTAGAGGAATCTCGATGTCTGAAGTAGAGGTGAGCACCTTAAATAAAAGGTGTGGTTCTGATGGAGGATGGAATCTTCTTGAAGGAAAACCTATCTTCACCTTCTTCAAAATCAGTGAATTCTGTGCAGCTGGCCTTGGGGGACCTGCCGGAAGGCTCTGTGTGGGATAAAGTGCAGAGCACCAAGCTCAGCGTGTTTCGGGGTCATGTTGCAGACCCTTGAGCCAGGTGAGGCTGAAGGCTGCGGCCTGGACACAGGTTAGAAACCCGGTGATGGAAGCTTCGGCTCTACCGTTGGGACCAGATGGTATCATGAGTTCTTGACCAGCCCCGCGTGGTGCTTTATCTCCTCGCAGTTAGGGGACGTGATGAGGGGAGCCGCCATGCTCCGGTTCCACTTCCGGTGTAACACAAACACAACATAGGTTGGTAATGGGAAAGTTGTGTTGGACTTGATGGTTGTAAAAGGCAGCTTGGCTGGGTTTTAGGAAGACAGATCTCAGAACGTTCAGACTATGAGGTGGATTCTTGTGGCTGCAACCACATGGCCAAAAGGGATTATAAAATACATGGATCATGAAGTGATAATGGGTAACATTTATTGAGTGCTTACTGGGTACCAGGCTCTAAGTACTTTATATGCTTTGTTTCATTAACTCAGTGGGTAATTGTTGGGTAAGTGAGTAGAGAGATCTTTTAAGTGACTTTCAGTCTTCAGAACTGTATATCTTGAGGAAGGGAAAGAATTTAGAAACAACCTTCAGAGGAAAGTATTGCTATTATTGTGTTAGGTAAAATGATGCCCCCCAGAGACATCCGTGTCATATCCCTGGGACCTGTGACTATGTTAGGTCACGTGGCATGGGGGAGTTGAGGTTGCAGATGGAGTTGAGGTCGCTGACCAGTTGCCCTGGAAATAGAATTATCCTGGATTATCTGGGTTTGCCCAGGTAATCACTGGCGTTCTTAAACGTGGAAGAGGGAGGCAGGAGAGTGTCAGAGTGATAGGGTGTGAGAAAGACTCAACTCGCCATTGCTGGCTTTGAAGATGGCGAAAGGGGACATGAGCCAATGACTGTGGCCTCCCCTAGAAGCTGGAAGAGGCAAGAAAACAGATTCTTTCTTCGAGCCTTCAGTGGGAACCAGCTCTAACCCCTCGATGTTAGCCCTATGAGACCCATTTCAGAGTTCTGACCACCAGAGTTAGAAGATGATAACTCTGTTGTTTTAAGCCACTGACTTTGTGGTAATTTGTTACCACAGCCATAGGAAGCGAAAGGAAACGAAAACACTCGCCATCCCAGTTAACAAAGGAGGAAGCTGGAGCACATAGCTGGAGAGTGGGGGGTGGGATCCAGATCCAGGCATCAGATTGCAAAGTTCGCTCTCATAATCAGAGGGAGAGGTGGGAGGTAAAAGTCCAAATATTATCAGACAGCAGGTCATGGTGGATTTGGAGAAAACTACTGAATTCCGCTTTTTAAAATCCATTAGCTAAAGGCCAAAGACTAATAAAAGAATGGCTTAAGTAAACTTGTAAGAATAGTTTGAGGAGCCCTAAAGTCCAGAGTGAAGTAAAGATTGATGAAAGAAAAATTGGCACACTCGTACGTGGCTGGTGGGAATGTAAATGGTGCAGCCACTATGGAAAACAGTTTGGCAGTTCTTCAAAAAGTTAAACATACAATTATCCTATAACCCAGCAATTCTACCACCAGGTATATACCTAAAAGAATCGAAAAGAGGAATTCGAACAGATAGTTGTCTGCCAGTGTTCATAGTAACATCATTTACAACAGCCAAAGGGTAGAAACAAACCAAGTGTTCATCAGAAGATGAGTGGATAAACAAAATACTGTGTATCCGTACAAAGGAATATTATTCAGCCATAATTAAGGAGTGAAGTCCTGATAACATGCTACATTATGTATGAACCCTGAAAACAGCATGCTGACTGAAATAAGCCAGACACAAAAGGTTACATAGTATATGATTCCATTTATACAAAATAACCAGGATAGGTAAATCTATAGAGACAGTGTGGATAAGCAGTTGCCAGAGACTGGGTGAGGGGGATAGAGTTTCTGTTTGGGGTAATGGAAAAGTTCTGGGAGCAGT